AAGAAATTAATTGGCCAACTAATATATATAGAAAAAATTAGCTGGGCATGGTGGCACATGCCTGTAGTCCCAGCTACTTGGGAGGCTGAGGCAACAGGATTGCTTGAGCCCAGGAGTTTGAGGTTGCTGTAAGGTAGGCTGACGCCACGGCACTCACTCTAGCCTGGGCAACACAACGAGACTCTGTCTCAAAAAAAAAAAGTGGGCTAGAAATTAAGAAAAGCATATGACTAGTTCTGAGTGAGGAATAGAGGCAGTAATCAACTGAGTTGGGCCTTGAAGGATGATGTGTAGGATATTTTCAGGTGAGGGAGGGAGGAGGAAGAGCATTCTACGCAGAAAAAATAATATGAATAAAAGTGTCAAGATATGAAAGTACAAATAGAGTTAAGGGAAGGGTGAATAATTCAGTGTGCTAGGATGAATGTGTAAAAGGGGGCTATGAGGTCACTCCAAAGATAGGACAAGACCAGACTGTCAATGGCCTCAAACACCATGCTAAAAGAGCACAGATCTTTTTTTCTGGGGATTCTTGAAGATAGTGAGTCTTTTTAAATAATGGAGTGATAAAATAATAAATGTGGGATATGAAGATCATACTGACAACAGGTAAAAGGCAAAAGGAGAGACCAGAGGTAAGAAATTATAAAAGAGGGGTTTGCAATAGTCCAAGAGGTAATAAATGATTGCATAGACCAGTGCAGTAGTGGTTGGGAGGAATTCTTTCTCTGAGAGTTATTATATAGACAGACTCCATAGGAATTGGTATCTGATTGTACATGGTGTTGTGTGTGTGTGAAGAAATAAAAATTTCAGGTAACAGATCCCATCGCATAATAATGATCTCACTTTGTGACAACAACAATAATTACACTTCTAATTAGCTTATTGAATGAATGGGGTAGTGGTTTCCAGCTTTGATTGATCATCTTCCCATCCTAGACCTACCGAATCAGACTATCTTGAAGTGAAAACCAGTAATCCATATTTTTAAAGCTCCCCAGGGATTCTGATAACTAGCCAGTTTCAGAAAGCACTGCAGTCGAGGATGTGAAAAGGAAGTGACACCCAATGACATCAGACTCAGTAAAATCTTATCATGTCCTTTCCATTCTACCTCTGAAACATAGTCTGAATTTTACACTTCTTTTATTCCACTTCACTCACTCTAATCTTGAATACATTTATCAATTGCCAGAACTAAGTAATAGCCCTACCTGGGCTCCCTGCTTCCACTCTTGCCCCTGTGCAATCCATTTGCCACAAAGCAGCCAAAACAATTCTTTAAAATGTGAAACAGACCATGCCCCTGGCTTCAAATGTTCCAGTGACCTCCTATTATACTGTGATGTTTTTAAAGTAAGTCCATAAGTTCTTTGCTGCCCCTTTCACTGATTCTCCTCTCCTTGACCGTGGACTATACTTAGTGACTCGCTTGTAAGAAACAAAATGTGATACAAGTGATGGTGTGTCATATTCATGATAAGGGCATAAAAGGCACCATGGCTTCCTTCTTGCTCTCTTCTCTTGGATCACTTACTCAGGGGAAGCTGGCCGCCACGGCATAATGACACTCAAGCAGCCTTATGGTCCTTAAACAGCAAGGACCTGAAGGCCCCTGCTTACAGCCAGCCAGGAACTGAGCCTTCCACCAACAGATACGTGAATAAGCCATCCTGGAAGTAGATCCTCTGGCCCCAGTTGAGCCTTCATATGACTGTAGCCAATATCTCGACTTCAATTTCCTGATAGACTCTGAGAATCACCCCGCTATACAGATTCCAAATTCCTGATCCAGAGAAAATATGAGGTAATAAATGTTGATCTTAAGCTTCTCCTTACCATAGTTTACAAGACCCTACATACTCAGCATTCTGCCCATATAGTAAACAAAGGGTAACTTTGGTTACTACTCACTTTGTGGGAAAGACTATTTGTTGTCCCCTAAGAACTATTTCTCTCTTTTTATTTAGAAATAGAGCCGGCAAGTTTATCCAGTCACATGAATCCCAGCTAATGACTACATTTCCTAGCCTCCCCCACAGCCACATACGGTCATATGTCAAAGTTCTGGCATATGGGACATGAGCAGAAAGATGTGTGCAGCTTCTAAGTTGGGTTTTAAATGGAAGGGCTATGCCTTCTGTTTTCCTTCTCCTCATTCCTGATGACTGGATTAGCAGTATGATGGTGAAAGGGTGGAAGCTGGAATAACCATCTTGAGCCACAAGATGAAAGTGGCATGGTAAGACAGGAAGGGCCTAGATCCCCAGCACCATCCAGCCAGGACTGTCTGGCTGATCTTTACATAAGCAGGACAGGAGGCCTCTATCTTGTATGTAAGTCACTGTATCTTTTGTCTCTTCATTACAACAGCCTTTCTTTCTACTACTCTGCTTTCCTGAGGTTTCTGCCCTTGCTAGACTGTTTGCAATATTTCCCCCCAGATCTTTGCATGGCTGACTCCTTGCTAATGGGTTTTACTATTCCATCTAAAGTGCCCTCCCCTCAGTTGTTCTCTATTTTATAATCATGAGCTCTATTCTTCATGGCTATCATCAGCACCTGAAATTTTCTCATTTATCTGTCTACTATTGTCTGTCACTCTCCACTGGATTACAATCTGCACAAGATCAAGAACCTTGGCTGCCTTATTTCCTACTGAATTTCCGGTGCCAAGAAAGGGCCTGCACATAGTGGGCAACATCTGTTGTGTTAATAAATAAATTAATAATAAATGATGCCAAGAACCAAGTCCCTGGGTCACTTCCTTATGATTCAGCCTCTTTTACCCACAAAATTAGGTAACAATAACAACTTAACTCAGAATGAACAAAAGAATGGCAATAAATTTCTTTTACTTCCATTATCAAGTATTCTGATTTGATGAGGAATAAAAACAAGGAAACATTAAATAAATCTCTGCTTTTAGTCTTTAAAGCTGAAGTAGAAGGCCAGCCTGGTGGTGCGTGCCTGTAGTCCCAGCTATTCAGGAGGCTGAGGCAGGCAGGAGGATCACTTGAGCCTGGGAGTTGGAGGCTGCAGTGAGCTACGATTGGGCCACTGCACGCCAGTCTGGGTAACAGAATGAGGCCCCTCTAATAAACAAACAAACAAACAAATAAATCTCAACTAGAAAAAAAACAGTAACTCGTAAAAATATTATACCTAAAGAACAGATTAATTTAAGCCATAAAATAGATTACTGTATTACATTATTCTAAGGTATCAACTATTGTGAGACATGCCATTGTCTGGAAAAGGAGAAATGCTGCTGTAGTAGACTGTGTTACTGTTCCCAATTTCTGTGCCTACCACCCCCCTTCCCAGCCTCACAGTGGGTGGAGTATACAACCTCAGTCCATTGCCAGGCTTGGCCATGTGACTTGCTTTGGCCACTTGAATGTGAGTGTATGTAACAAAGACCAGATCCAAGCAGCTTTAAATGTGTTTGCTAAGTTCAAATCAGTTTTTACTCCATCCTAGGATAGTCCCAGAGAGTGGCCAGTCCTTCCACCTGGGTTCTGTTAATAGAATAACATGTGTAGCTGTGCAGAGCTAAGATAAAACCAGCCAAACTGACCACAGCAAAGGCCAGTGAAGCCACAGCCAACCCACAGCGCTCACATAACATCAGTAAAAAATAGGTGTCATGGGAAGCCACTGAGATATCAGTAATCACAATGAAAGTTATGACAATTATATTACTTCATGCCATCAATTGTAAGCTGTACCTTGAGTTCAGGGATGTTAAATGTGAATAAATGTGTGTCTTAGAATCAATAAAATACAGTATGTATTATATGTGTTATCATATCTCAGGACAAGATCTAAAGCAAGTGCCCAATAAATATTTGTTGACTTGATATCATGTACATGATGATGTGGAGTTCATGTTTTTAGTGACAGTCTTCTCGATAAAAACATTTCCTCCTTAGCATATTGAATGAAATGGTGTAACGTCACATATTAACTGTAATGGAAACTAAAATTTATTTGGCAAACTAAGTTCAAACTTAAGGAAAAGGTTAGTGGTGACTTTTATTTTTTTTCTTTTCTTTTTGAGACAGAGCCTCTGTTGCCCAGGCTAGAGTGCAGTGGCATTGTCATAATTCACTGCAACCTCAAACTCCTAGACTCAAGGGATCCTCCTGCCTCAGCCTTCAGAGTAGCTGGGACTACACAGGTGCACATCACTACGCCCAGCTAATTTTTCTAATTGTTGTAAAGATGGGAGTCTCACTTTTGCTCAGGCTGGTCTTGAACTCTTGGCCTGAAGCAACCCTCCTACCTCAGGCTTCCAGAGTGCTAGGATTACTGGCATGAGCCACTGTGCCCAGCCAGTAGTGACTTTTCATTACTTCTCATTTGTCTCTACTCACCTACTACCTCATATAATTTCTTGATTTATATTCCAAAGGACTTCCTCCTCTCTCTCTCATCCTACTAGCCTGTATTGCTAGATATGGGTCTTCCACTGGGGGAACAGAGGTAGCAAAAATGAAGTACAATGGCCACTGGCATAAACATATAAGACTAAATATTTGGATATATGCTTGTGAAACAAGTTTTCACACTGCACAAATTAGATACAGAATAGGGTGAAGGATGAAAAGGATGGAACCACATGAACCACAAGCAGAGTCAGATAGAAAGATGTCTACATCTGCCAGATCAAGCACTGTCTACTGTCAATATCAAGAGCTGTGTGGAAGCCAATTTGGAGCATTGCTCACTGCAGATGGTCTAACAGTGTTATACATTAATCACAATCTATAACTTGGATTTAATAAATAAAATAATAATGGCAATAATGTAATAATAACAATAATTGAATAGAACACTGACTATATGCCTAGCACTTATGCTAAATGATTTATGTAAATTATCTCATTTATTCCTTGCAATGATATTATGTATTTAGTTAGCTTTTGCTAGGATAATGCTTTGTAATAAACCACCCCCAAACCCAGTAACTTATAGCAACTTATCTTTTTCATCAGTCTTCAGGGCAACTATGGTTTGGGTGATGCAGACTGAGTTCTGCTGCATACCTCTGCTGCAGGGTCTGCTGTGGGCAGGATAGACTTGGCTCCATGGAATGTATATGTTGGGTTCAGGTCTGCTCCACGCCTCTCATCATTTGGGCAAGCAGCTACCTAGGCCACGTTCTTCTCATGGTGATGGTAGGAATGTAAGAGAGCAAATGGAAACACATAATGCCAGGCTTAAAAATGGCACATCGTCAGTTCCAAAACAATTCCATGACCTAGACTAACATTTATAGGGAGGAAAAAATACTCCAAGGAGGATAGCAGTGAATATTTATCAAATATATAACAATTAAATATATAACAAAGTAGTATGTAGGTATTTGACATCCATTTCACAGATGAAGAAACCAAGGCACGCACATAAAAGCTAAATGAGTTTCCCAAAGACAAATCTAAGAAGTCATGAAGTTAGGATTTGAATCCAGGCCATCTGATTCCACAGCCTAGGATCTTAACTATTATTCTATATGGTTTTAACAAACCAGACTCCAGAAGGCATTACAAAGAAAATAGCAGTGGTAATTTTATGATAATAAATGGAACCTGAGGAAAAGAAGTAGCCAAGATAAAAGACTCTATTTTGAGGTTCTAATCAATAAAGATGATTTTCTCATTAGCTTTCATAGCTATAAGAGAGTACATTGTAGAAATCCACAGAAGGATGTGGGTTCATTTATTTTTCCAATGCCCCCAATACAAACATATTAACATTTTATAGTATAAATATTACCCTTGCTATTTATTTCCTACTCACCTACATTGAAAAGGAAACTTCATATATTCTGATAATTATGAGTAACCTATAAAGTAATTATAAAATGTCTCCTTGTAAAAACACCTGGGGGCTGCAGCAGCAGTCATATTAAATTAACATTAAAAACAATGAAGTCCAGGGCGGGTCACGGTAGCTCACTCCTGTAATCTTAGCACTCTGAGAGACAAAGGTAGGCCAAACACTTGAGCCCAGAAGTTGGAGACCAGCCTGAGTAAGAGCATGACCCTGTCTCTACAAAAAAATAGAAAAATTAGCCAGGCATGGTGCCACACATCTGTAGTTTTACCTACTCGGAAGGCTGAGGCAAGAGAATTGCTTGAGCCCAGGAATTCAAGGTTGCAATGAGCTGTGATGAGGCCATTGCACTCCAGCCTGGGTGACAGAGTAAACCCTGTCCCAAAAAACAACCACCAATACCACCAGAACAAAACAATGAAGTCCAATAAAAGCATCAAATTCAAGCCTTAAGAGGCATTCCAATAAATAACCCTGTATAGAAAAAGAAAGCCTAAAGCACAATTGTAAAATATGATAAATAAGGTACAAATGTCACAAACAAGTCCTTTGAAAATATTTTTAAGGAAGAGAAGAGAGAGCATGGGATAGTTGAGAAGCAGGTTCTACACCCAGAGGACTTCCAAAGACTGAGATGTTGACCAGATTCATGCAGCTTCAGGGTCTTGCCATGCCCACAGACAGGCTATTTTTGAACTCCCTATGCTTCTTACACCACAAGTACTTTAGAAGCATTATTTTTCTTATTTTTGCAGTAGCAAAAGGATCTAATGTCATGTAATAGAGCCTCAGGTCAGTGTTACAAATAAAACTCAAACTTGCTTTGAGATTCCCATTTCTCAATCTAGTTTTCTCTATTATTATGATGATTTCAATTTCAACTTGCAGCTTTAGTCATTCATTTCCCTTTAGAATAAGTATAAAGCTGAAACAGCTTCCAAAAATATAAAACCAAATGGTTACAATTTTGAACCTTGTTTGGATCTTGATATAACTAAATCAACTATAGCAAGACATTTTTGAGACAATAGGAATATTAAGAATTTTGGTAATTTTTAAAGGTATTGTATTGTACTTATTTTTTTAAAGAAGTCTTTATTTCTTATGAATTCTGAAATATTTACAGGCAGAATATTATGATATCTGAGATTTGCTTCAAAATATTCCAGCATTGTTAGGAAGGGGAGTACAAAATGTTGATAATTACCAAAATTGGACATAGGGGCTCATTATGCTAGTTTTTTCAATGTTATGTGAATTTTGAAACTTCTATAATAAAAAGTAAAAAGAAAAAAATATCCATTTATAAAAATGCCACAAAGAGGCCACTGTAAGAGAAGTTTAATTCAAAAGATACATTCAATAGTGAAGTTCTAAGCCACGTAACTAGGAACATCCTTAAAACAACATCACCATAATATTCACAAGCAACACAGCTTTTCATCTGTTTTTTTTTTTTTTTTTTTTTTTTTTTTTTTTTTTGAAACAGAGTCTCGCTTTCTTGCCTAGGCTAAAGTGAGTGCCGTGGCGTCAGCCTAGCTCACAGCAACCTCAAACTCCTGGGCTCAAGCGATCCTCCTGCCTCAGCCTCCCGAGTAGCTGGGACTACAGGCACAAGCCACCATGCCCGGCTGATTTATATATATATATATATTAGTTGGCCAATTAATTTCTTTCTATTTTTATGGTAGAGACGGGGTCTCGCTCAGGCTGGTTTTGAACTCCTGACCTTGAGCAATCCGCCCGCCTCGGCCTCCCAGAGTGCTAGGATTACAGGCGTGAGCCACCGCGCCCGGCCTTCATCTGTTTTTTATATGTATATACCACATGCATGCTTATGCTATGTGAGTAAATTGTATGATTTGTACTAGAATTAAAAACAGCTCTATCTTAAAGGTATAAGAAGCAAAAGCACTTTATAGCTCTTTTTAAAAAATTGATTTGAAGTTAGGAGAACCTTCCCTTGAATAGTGGATAATAATGAAGGTTAGTGTTATAAGCTTACTATGTCCCAGGCACTGATTGAAGTACTTTATATTTATGAACTCCTGCTAATCTTCAAAATTACCCATTGATATAGTTATTATTGTTCTTTCCATTTTACAAATAAGAAAACTACAGTTCTGAAAGGTTATGTAATTTGCTCAACATTGCACTACTGGTTAGTAGCAAAGCTAGGATTCAAACACAGGGGGTCTATCTCCCATGTCTAATCCCTTAATCGCTGAGTCCTGTCCCTATTCAAGGGAAGAGCATGTTTTGTAGAGTCATTCTTTGTTTAGGCTTTGGGGACCCAGTTTCTTTCTTTTTAGAAAAATAAAGCAGCTGTCACTCCCTTTGACATCAGTATATTCCTTCTGTTTTGTCATGTACTTCAAATCTATTACCCCAACATAGTCATGTCAGCCCTATAATGTTCAAACATATTTATTACAGATGTTTATTTATGGCATGATTTCATAGGACAGAAAACATGAGAGCAAGCTCTTCTGGTTGATTTAAACCAGACCAACTTTGAGAAACAGCTCTGACACTGTAGTAGTTGACAATGACAACTCTTTTGTATGAGTGTCAGCTTGGCGATGACCTTATATGATCTGCCCTAATCAACTGATTTTCTCAGATGGTCTTTTGCAAATTTTTTGCAGCTTAGCAAGTTGTTATCACTGCTTCTATATTTCCAAGGTTAATAAAGGATTCTCTCTCTCTCTTTCTTTCTCTATTTGTCTGACACATTGCTTTATTTGGAAAGAAATAGTTTTAAAAGATCCATTTACCTATGGATTATATCATAATAGACTTTAAATATGGTAACTTTAAATCAGGGAACTTTTAATAGCTATGTCTAGAAAGGAATTAGGGTGAGTCCACATGTGGCTTCAATTGGACTTAACCGAATAGGTCATTGAACTTATAAACAGAATGACTTGACAGAGTTTTTTTTCTAAATCAGCGAAAAATGATTTCTTAGAATTAACTGACCAGACTGATTTGTTTGTTCACCCATAGAAACATCCATCTCTGAATGACACATTTTCCAATTTTGGAGGAAAACTGTATTTTTAAGACAGAGGAAATATTTTCATGTAATTTAGGAGGTTATATACATTGCTATAGGGCAACAGTTACTGATAAGATGCCTTGACAACTGTATAATTTAAAGTTGTCAGTCTATAAATATATAATAAATGCTGCATATCTTGAGTCCCTTTTACCTGATATTATGTATGTATGGATTCTATGCCACAAACGGAGGGTTTTTCTGTACATAGAATACTATCAGAATTTCTCTAAAATCCTAGGAAATGGAGTCTGAGTAATATTTCTTTTAAAATAAGGAAAAATAAAGAAATGAAAGAAGGAGATGGGGGGGGGGAGAGAATGCACCAACAAGCAATAGTAGAAAAAAGACAAGATTATAATTTCTAGAATAGTGCTTCTCAATCTGGCTGCATATTAGAATCTCCTGGGGGTGGGGGATGGTATTTGAAAAATACTGATACTTGGTCCTCAAATCCAGAAATTTTTATTCATCTGGCTGTGGTGACTTTGGTCCTCATGAGAAATATTTAGGCCGGGCGCTGTGGCTCACGCCTGTAATCCTAGCTCTTGGGAGGCCGAGGCAGGCGGATTGCTCAAGGTCAGGAGTTCAAAACCAGCCTGAGCAAGAGCGAGACCCCGTCTCTACTATAAATAGAAAGAAATTAATTGGCCAACTGATATATATATAAAAAAAATTAGCCGGGCATGGTGGCGCATGCCTGTAGTCCCAGCTACCCGGGAGGCTGAGGCAGAAGGATCACTCGAGCCCAGGAGTTTGAGGTTGCTGTGAGCTAGGCTGATGCCATGGCACTCACTCTAGCCTGGGCAACAAAGCGAGACTCTGTCTCAAAAAAAAAAAAAAAAACTGAAAAAGAAATATTTAAGCAGCAATGGAGAGCTAGCTAAACTTGTAGTGGTGGAGACACTCTCCACTCTGTGCTTCCTAATGTTCTCATCATAAATAAAATACAACCCAACTTCTGAACGTGAGTGTGATGTGCAGCGGAGATGGGAATGGAGAATAAAGACCTAGCTCATTAATTAATTATTCATTCAACTGACCAACAAATATTTATGTGGTGCCTGTTCTTTAGCAGACACGGTATTGACTGCTGGGATGTAGTGGCAAACAAAACGATTAAAGAAGCATGATAGAGCCCTATCTGAAATCTTCCTTGTGGGCCTCAAGTTTCAACCTATGCCAATGCCAAGATCAATCAGGTTGTGTGTGCGTGTGGAGAGGAGGATAGACAGTGAGTAGAGAGAATAACATGACCATAAGGACTAGGCCAGTCTACAGTTTACTAGTTAATTTTGTTCATGGAATAAAAACATTTTGGCACTTAAGCAGACCCAAGAGATGATCTACTTTTGCTTTATAGATGAGTGATTTTAAACTCATATAGGTTAAATGAGTAGCCTATGATCACAGTTATTCAGGACAGAGCTGTAGAACCCAGATGGCTGACCATTACTATACTGCCTATGTTCAAATAGAAGCCTTCTCAGCAGATTTTTTTTTATTCCAAGTTTCTAAAAGAAAACAGTCCCCTGGAAAGAGTCTTTGTAAAAGAAAAGGACCAACTTCTTTCTGCATTGAGCTAATCCTAGTGTAAAATTAAGTAGCAGCACTGCCAGTCAATTCCACACTATTGCCCTGTAGGGAGAGAAACTGAAAAAAAGGAGAGTAGGTCTTGGTCCATTTCCTCCCTAACTACAGTTGTGCTAAGGTCAAACACTTAGAACATTAGAAGGGAATGGCAAGAAAGGGCTATTGTGAATATGAGTAAGGGTCTGAGAAGTAAAGACTTAAAAATTAAACCAAAGACAAAAATTATAATGAAGAATTATTGTTATATATATCTTCCCCACCTTTGAGGGCTAATCTGCAAGATGGAAAGTGCATTCAGCAATCTTCCTAGTGGTAAGGGAAATGCAGATCTATACCATGCTGAGATTTCATTTTATATCCATTTGTTATAAATTTTAAGACGTTTGACAATACCAAGTGCTGATAGGGTGTGATCAATAGGATCTCTCATAAATGGCTGGTAGAAGTATAAATTGGCATAGCCAATTTCAGAAAGCTATTTGACGTTATCAAAGTTCAATATGCAAATACCCTACAACCCAGCAATTCCAATGCTAAATATAAACTCTTGCCATGTGTACCTGGAGGCATTTGTAAACCTGTTCATGGCAGCATCCTTGTAAGAGAAAAAATCCTGGGAGCAATCCAAATGTCCACTGACAGGAGAATAAATGAAGTGTGGTAGTGTGCTATATTCACATAATGGATGTTATACAGTAATCAAAACAAAAGAACTGCCACTATACACATTGATATGGGTGAACCTCAGCAAAATAATGTTGAGTAAATAAAAAAGGCTACAGAAAATTACATCCAGCATGGAACCTCCTTTTTAAGTTAACAATAACAAATAGTGGTCTGTAATCTTTTTGGCACCAGGGGCCAGTTTCATGGAGGACAATTTTTCCACACAGTGTGGATGGGGGAATGGGGTGTTGTGGGTGAGGGAGAGTGTGGTGTGGAGCTCAGGAGGTGATGCACAGCCTGTTTCCTAACAGACCACAGACCAGTAATGGTCCTCGGCCCAGGGGTTGGAGACCCCAGTGTTAAATGATATATTTTTTGTAATAAGTATATTTTTAACTATATTTTTGGAAAGCAATGAAAATGATAAATATAAGAGGCAGGATAAAGATAATTTTGGGTGGGGGAAGTAAGGGGAATGGGATTGGCCACACGGACAGAAGTAGGCTATTGTCAATATTCTAGTTCTTGTGTTAGTGGAACAATCACTTTATGTATTAAATTATACAAAGATTAATAGATAATTATATTAGTAATTTATGGCAACATAAATTATCTCATAACTTAGTAATTTAAACAATAAACGTTTGTTATTTCACAATTCCTGGGTGATTTTGGCCCAGTCTCTCATGGGGATACAGTCAAGTTGTCAGACAGGGCTGCAGTCTCTGAAGGAGCTGGAGGATCCATTTCAAAGAAGGCTGTTGGCATGGGCCTCTCCAAAGGGCTGCTCATAATGTGGCTTCCCCCATAGCAAGCAATGAGGGTGGGGAAGAGAGGGAGGGAGAGAGGGAGAGAAAGAGAGAGACAGAGAGAGAGAGAGAGGGAACAAGCAAGAGAATGCCCAAGACATAAGCGGCAATGTCTTTTAGAAAGCTCATATCAGAAGTGACATACTATCTCTTCTGCTGGATGCTATTGATCACACAGACCAACCCTGGGACAATGTGGAAGGGGACTCAGGCTGTGAACACCAGGAGGCAGGGATCACTTGGCACCATCTTAGAGGCTGGCTACACCATAATATAACATAAAAGAGTAATCAATGCATGGACCAACAATGAAACTGTGTCAAGAAGCAATTATGCATATCTGAGGTTGGAAAATAAATGAATAAATAAAGTCAACTTAGTTCTGGAGGCAACAGGACATAGGGAAGGAGTGAAATGATTTAGCTTTAATTCTGGCTCTACTGATTTCTAGCTTTTTGACTTTGGACAAGTCATTTGACTTCTTTCCATTTGTAAAATGGGGGTGAAGATATTTACTTGCCTCTTTAAATTTTTTTTATTAAGAAAAAATTCAAAAATGCACAACACAGAATAGTATAATCAATACCATATACCTATAATCTGGAATCAACGACTTTCTAGATTTTAGCATATTTATTTCATCTACTTTTTCCTTCCTAAGTGACTTAAGGCAAATTCCTGACTTTGTGTTACTTTATATCTCTTTATACTCTAGTCTGCATCACTTAAAAGTATGGACATTTTCTCATAGAGTCACACATAAAATTAATAACTCCATTGCTAATGTAATATATCCCAATTGTATTCAAATTGCTTTGGTGTTTCAGAACTTACGCTTAAGAGTTAAGTTTAAAAATTATTTTTTAGAGACTGGTTCTTGCTCTGGAGTGCAGTGGTGTCATTATAGCTCACCGTCATTATAGCTCAAACTCCTAGGCTCAAGTGATCCTCCTGTCTCAGCCTCCTGAGTAGCTGAGACTACAAGTGCATGCTACCATGCCTATTTTTTTTTTTTTTTATAGTGATGAAGGTCCCGCTATGTTGCCCAGGCTGGTCTAGAACTCCTGGTCTCAAGCATCTTCCCACCTAAGCGTCCAAAAGTGTTGGGATTACAAATATGAGCCACCACACCAGGCAACAGTTGGTTTGTTAGAATTAGAACCCACACAAGGTCTACACGTTACACTTGGTTTGTTATATCTCTTAAAATCTTTCAATCTAGAGTAATCCCTTTACTCCATTTTTACTCACTTGTCCTGTTGAAGATACCCAGACAGTTGGCTTGTAGGTTGGATGTGTCTGTTGGCTTCCTTGTGATACCATTTTACTTGTTTCTACTGCCTCCTGTGTTTCTAGGAGATTGGAAGGAAGTTAGTCCTAAACATTTGATGAGATTTAGATTCAACTATTTTGGCTAACATATTTCTTAGATAGTGTCGTGTACTTCATAATATACCATATTCTGAGGCACATATGTGTGGACTCCCACTCACAGTGATGCTGAGACTGATTTGGTAGTTGCAGGTGGTATCAGCCCAAGGCCTCCATTGCAAAGGTCCCCAACAGCCTCTCATATACTGATGACTGTAATCTGAATCAAATAATTTCGTAAGGAATTAGAAAATGGTGACTTCCTAATTCTATCATTTCTTTCTCTTTTATTTAACGGAATTATTTTTATAAAGAAGAACTTTCCCTCATTGAACTGGGCTATTTAGTTATTCCATTAGAAGTGGCTTATTCCCTGTTTCACATCCTCTCAGCCCACCTTTTATTATACTATGGCCATTGCAGCAGTAGGTATAAACTGACAGCACCTCTCTTCATATGTATTGCATACATCTCACTTTCTGCCCCTGAGTTCTTCTGACTCCACAAGGGAGGGATATCTGCTTATCACTCACACAGGATAGATTCGAAGTATGAAGGGGTTAAGGTCCCAAGGGGGAAACTTGGACCAATGGAAGATGGGAGCTGGTAAATAACTGCTCTCCTCCTGTACCAAACTTACAATTATGAAGTATACTTTACATGGCTCAAAGTCTCATTGCCACAGTGATAACTAATTAGAGAACACCTTTGTATTGACTTACCCTGTTTCCCTCTTCCTAGTCATCCACTACTCTTTCCTGAGATCACTGTCCCAAATAAATTACCTAAAAATCAAGCCCTTGTCTCAGGTTCAGCTTTCAGGGGGGTAAGCCAGGCTAAGACACCACTAAATATAATTCATACAGGAGATACAGGATAAATGCTTAATTCTCTCATTACATTGAAAAATTTCAGAGTATTGTCCTAATTATTAATGCATCTAAAAAGGAACTTATGGATTTGTATTAATGATCGAATTCCAATCAGTTATATTAATAGTTCTAACTTCTTTTTGATGTTCAGACTGTCCTCTTTTCAGGCAGTGGGAGCTCTTTTATGCTGACCCTTTTGTGCCTTTGACCTGTCCCTTTAGACTGTAATCGCTTCCTTGATTTCTGGCACAACAAAATGTTCCAGTTCATCCTACACATTTCTTGCCCCATACTAAAATCTGCCATTCTGCCAAAGATCGTTGTTCCTTATTATAGGAAATGACTTATTGAAAGTACAAGATAAATGCTAAAGGTACTTATTACTACAAAATTGTCATTATTTCTAAGCCTTTTCAAAGGATAAAGCAAGTTAATGTTTTTTTTTTCTCCAATAAATGTAAAAGTTTTCTTATTGGGATATAAGAAACACATTTTGAAAAGAAAAAAATCCTAAGTTCACACTATTTTCAATTTAACTTTCATATTACATGGATTCTACTTACTCTGAAAATCACTGTTTCTAAAAACTCTAATAATTGTTTTTACCTATAATATACAAGAATAGTTTGAGAATAATATAATAATATCTATATTTCTACTAGCATTGAGACTATTAATTAAAGCTTAAGATTTCTTTGTAGGTCTATTTACCCTGAGAATATATTCTATTATGATTGTACAGTGAAAATACTATTTTCTAAAGTCATTTGTCTACTTGGTATGGTTAAGACACTAACTTAATAGACAGTTATATGATTTGCTTCAGTTTGTTTTCAAATTTTAGAAATTACATTTTTATTTTGGATTTAAAATTATTTTGAATATGTAAAGTAAATTCATGATTCTAAAATCAAAGCTGTAGAGCCAAGGTATATTCAGAACAGTCTAAATTCTGTGCCTATCTCCTCTACCTCTTTCCTTCCATTCTAAATATGTACAAATATATATTTATGGCTTATCTATCTTACAAAGCATACTACACTGTTCTGTACTGTGTGTTTTTTTAAGCCAATATATATTCTGGAGGTCACCCCATATCAGTGTGAAGAGATGGCCCTCATTCTTTTTCACAGATGCATAGTGTATTTCATTGTGTGGATCTACCCTAGTTTGTTCAACCAGTCTCTTGCTTAGGGTTATTTGGATTGTTTCCAATCCTTTTTGATTACAAATAATACTGCAATGAATAATCTTGCATGTAAATCATTTTGTAATTTGGGACAGCTTCCCAAAATTGCGATTTCTGGGTCAAAAAGCAATGTATATGGTAATTTTGCTAGGGTTTATCAAATTCCCTTCCATAGGTACTGTGTACCATTTTGCATTCTCAATGGCAATGTGTGCCATCCCTACAGCCTGCCAACCAAGTAGGTGGTCAAACATTTGGATTTTTGCTGGTCTGACTGGTTGCCTTCTTTTAACATCCTGCCCCAAGATATACCATGATGCCTTCACCTAGTTTTAGAAGAAATCTCTTAGGATAAATAATAGGTGATTATATTATGGGCGATGGAAGGTGGCTGCAGTGTCTCTTATCTATTTCCACTCACCTAATCATGGAAATGCCAAAGTCACAGCATCCCCATCCTGTTAAGACCTTGTATTTCCAAAGGTCGCCTCTGGTTTCTAGCTAAATAAAAGGACATCAAATATGTCCTCACTTCTTTCTAAGGTCAGCAGAATGCAGAGTGGCCAGTAAGTGAAGTCCACTTGTACCTTACAAGCCTCAGAGTCCTGAAAAAGGTAGAGGAAGAACTCCATGACCATCTTTTGTCAGCTTGCTGTCTCCAGAACAACCACAACGCCAAGGGGAAGTCCCTGTGTACGTCTGAAAGTTTCCAGATTGTGGTGTGACCACTCCCTAACCTGCAGGGCTACTCACCGTCAGGACTTCTTCTTTTGCTGTTTTGTAGAAGTAAATGTCATGGATGGATATTGCTTTTGTCTTCCAGCATTTCTCATTTCCCTGCATTCTAGTAGGCAATTTTGGTGTTCCCTGCCCCCCAAGACAGATATTTGGCAATGTTTGGAGACATATCTGGTTCTCACAACGTGGAGAGGGATTCTGCTAACATCTAGTGCAGGGGTCCTCAAACTTTTTAAACAAGGGGCCAGTTCACTGTCCCTCAGACCATTGAAGGGCCATTGGAGAGTGCGGCGCACATTCTGCACATGCGCACTGTGGGCCCAGGACGAGTGGGGTGCTAAGCAGGACAGCCAGCTGTGGCAAAAACACCTGGTGGGCTAGATAAATGTCCTTGGCGGCTGTATGTGGCCCCCCGGCCGTAGTTTGAGGACGCCTGATCTAGTGGGAAGAGGTCATGCTACTGAACATCCTATAACACTCAGGACAGACCTTCCTCTGCCAACAAAGAATTATCTGTTCCAAAATGTCAATAATGTCAAAGTTTAGAAACTTTGCGGTATTCTTTCTTTATGCACACATTCACAGACATCCTTAAAATGACTATTATCAGTGGCAGAGGAAGGGCAGAATCACAGACACTCCCTTTACCTGCTCCTCCAAAAGTCACTAGCAATTCAGAAACCTCTTTAATCATAAAGACTTTACGGAATTATATATTTATCTGGAAGATTAAAGAACAAATACCATTTTAACCTTCTAAAAACTGATTATCATTAGGTACAATGCAACCTTTTAACTGTAAGTACAAAGGAAAGTGCTGATTATTTAAAGTAAATGGGACCAAAAGTCCCATGAATAATCAAAAACTTGGTTAATAGAGTATGACCAGAGAATAATGCACTTGGCTTCTGTGAAGAAATTAAAGTACATGCTGTGAATTGGTATTAAGGAAATTGCATGAAAAGTTACCCTTAAGGTACCATGATGCTGAAGAAACAGCCTCAGGTGCACAATATATTACATTCAGTCTTTATCGCTCTTCATATTCTCATGACTTCTTTCACCTTGGATAACCTAGAAGCTCAGGCCTTGGAACTCTTTTAAATGTTAAAGTATCTCACTCTCCACATTTATTTTCATCTAGGAACAGACTTGAATTTTATTGCCAAGAGTTTATCTCGTTCACAGGAATTATTTTCAAACTTCAGCTTACCTTACTTTGAGAGCATACACTCTGTTTAATACTTATAAGCATAATTGACTTAAAAAATGGGTGTGTCCCTGAAAAGTTATACCTAAATTGAATTTTTTTTTTGAGACAGAGTCTCACTTTGTTTTTTTTTTATTTTTTATTTATTTTTTTTATTTTGGCATATTATGGGGGAACATATTTTAAGGTTTCAATAAATGCCCTTCTTCCCCCACAAGTCTGAGTTTACAGCATGACCATCCCCCAGATGGTGCACATCTCACTCCTTATGTATATATATACCCGCCACCCTCCCCTCTCCCACCTGCCCAATACCCTATTACTGTAGTACCTATGTGTCCACTTAGGTGCTACTCAGTTTTGATACCAGTTGCTGGTGAATATATCTGATGCTTGTTTTTCCTTTCTTGGGATACTTCACTTAGTAGTATGGGTTCCAGCTCTAACCAGGAAAATATAAGATGTGCTATATCACCGTTGTTTCTTAGAGCTGAATAGTACTCCATGGTATACATATACCACATTTTATTAATCCATTCTTGGATTGATGGGCACTTGGGCTGTTTCCACTGCCTTGCAATTATGAATTGTGCTGCTATAAACATTCGAGTGCAGGTGTCTTTTTTGTAGAGTGTCATTGGATTATTTGGGTAGATGCCCAGCAATGGGATTGCTGGATCAAATGGTAGATTCACTTGTATCGCTTTAAGGTATCTCCATATTGCTTTCCACAGAGGTTGAACTAGTTTGCAGTCCCACCAGCAGTGTAGGAGTGTTCCTCTCTCTCCGAATCCACGCCAGCATTTGTTATTTGGAGACTTTTTGATAAAGGCCATTCTCACTGGAGTTAAGTGATATCTCATTGTAGTTTTGATTTGCATTTCCCTGATGATTAGAGATGATGAGTAATTTTTTCATATGTTTGTTGGCCATTCTTCTGTCTTCTTTAGAAAAGTTTCTGTTCAAGTCCTTTGCCCACTTTTTAAGAGTCTCACTTTGTTGCCCAGGCTAGAGTGAGTGCCGTGGCATCAGCCTAGCTCACAGCAACCTCAATCTCCTGGGCTCAAGTGATCCTACTGCCTCAGCCTCCCAAGTAGCTGGGACTACAGGCATGCGCCACCATGCTTGGCTAATTTTTTCTATATATACTAGTTGGCCAATTAATTTCTGTCTATTTTTAGTAGAGACGGGGTCTCACTCTTGCTCAGGCTGGTTTCAAACTCCTGACCTTGAGCGATCCTCCTGCCTCCCAAAGTGCTAGGATTACAGGCGTGAGCCACCGCACCCGGCCTAAATTGAATTTTTGTAGATAAAATCAAAATTAAATCACAAGGAAAATTTGCCAATGTGAGTATGAAGCTAAACCTTTTGTAGAGAAAATCATCTTTTTTGCAAAGTGAACAATTATCCTTTAATTTGCTTTTCCAATTTTTACATGTAGCCCAAGGGTCTAGTCCATTATTATGCATGATGCTAATTTAAAAAATATCAGCTATAAATTTGTAAGGATTTTGAAAGTTGAACAGAGCTTTACAAGCTATTTTTAATAGTATAAGAACAGAGTAATATATCCTTTATTATTAACAAGCGTTTATTAACACTTGATTTTGGGTGATGAGAAAGGGAGCATGAAGTTAGACATACCTGAAAAAAATAATAGGTAGCATTACTGAAAGGATAATCACATTGACTACTTCCCCTAAGCAATGAGGAGAAAAGAGTGCACGGTAGCCTATTAATTTGAGACAGTCTAATGTTGTTAAGAGTATGGATTCAGAAGCCAGATTGCCTGGGTTCAATCCCTGCCTAGTGTGGCCTTAGGCAATTTAGACAACTCAGCTGTGCCTCAGTTTTCTCATACAAAACACAGAGAATACTATCTACTTAACTGGGCAGTTTTTAGGATTAAATGAGATAAAATATGACCTAGTATGTGAAAAGTGATAGGTTTTTGGTTTTTGTTTTTGAGACAGGGTCTTGCTCTGTCTCCCAGGCTGGGCTGCAGTGGTTTGATCATAGCTCACTGCAGCAGCTTCCAATTCATGAGCTCAAGGGAAGGGGTCCTCCTGTCTAAGGTCACCACTATACCTGGCTAATTTTTAAATTTTTTTTGTAGGGACGGGAGGTCTTCCTATGTTGCTCAGCCTAGTCTCCAACTCCTGGCCTCAAGCGATCCTCCTGCCACAGCCTTCCAAAATGCTGGGATTACAGGCGTGAGCCACAGTACTGGCTCAGTGATACAGTTTTGAATCCTTGATGGTGAGTAGAGCTCCAGCGCTAGGCGTAAAAAGGAAGAAGAGAGGAAGGGAGCAGGCACCCTTTCATTTCAACCTCTCTGCATCCTTGTGAAGGAGGCACGACTAGTTCTGCCAGGGCTGTACACATGGGGAAACAAAGGCTTGGCGAAGAGGCGGGTGATTTGAACGTGGATCCGAGGGCATTCCTTGGGAAAAGGACCCCTTTCCGCTGCGCCACGCCACCTTCCATCTGGTTGGGCCTGAGGGCACAGTCCCACGGCCTGGGGACTTTGCATTCCGCCACTGAGCCGTGCCCACAGCTCCAGCAGCCATGCAACCCGAGGGCCAGCTAGAGGCCGGCGGCGGACAGCGACTAAAGGCTTCCAGGAGGAGCAGGCGCCTCCGCCCCACGCCCTTCCTCGCGGGCGGCCGCGGGGCCTGGAGGAGAGACTCGGTAGACACTGATCCTTGTTCATGACACAAATATATTCACGTGTGCCCATTCTGTGCTGGGCACCAGGAACGCTATGATGAACCCAGACTCGGCCCAGATTTCCGGTGCAGGGGAACCACTCACCGCCCGCAGCCCACACCCCTGCCACGGTAGAAGCTCTCAGGGCACAAGACGCGTTGGGAGGAGCCGAATCTCACTGCCCTGGGTTCTCTTCCAAAGTCCCGCCCCTTCAGGGCGTTCTCGGCCACGCCGTAAAGTGAGGAGCATTCTTTGCCCCTTAACAGCCCGTCTCCGTCTTTACGGCAGGCCGGATTCCACGCCTCCAATATGGCGTCCCCCACATAGGAAGTGGCCGTGGTTTCTACCCCGGGTGGCTGGGGGCAGTGCTGAGCTGGGGCTGCTCTTCATCCATCCTGGGCAACTGCAGAAAGCAGCAGTTAAAATTCGTTTCTGGTCACGGCTCTAGGAAGCCATCTCCTCTGAGGGTCAAGAATCGCCGTTTTCTTTTAATTCCTGCAAGTTCCTCCTCTGTCCCTGGCTTGTTGTCCGTGCCAACTCCGGACATCCCCAGGTCCCTGACCCTTCTACACTCAAATCATGAACCTTCAGCAGCTGTTGCGCTTGCCCCGTTATCTCGGAGCCTTGGGTCCCCCGCGTCGCCGGTGGTGGTCCCCGTCCCTCGACACCATCGCCTCAGTAGGTTCCTGGCGTGGTCAATCCTCGAGGTCCCCGGCTTACTGGAACCAGGTGGTGTCAGAGGCGGAGAAGATTGTGGGCTATCCCACGTCCTTCATGAGCCTCCGCTGCCTGCTGAGTGACGAGCTCAGCAACATCGCTATGCAGGTGCGGAAGCTGGTGGGAACTCAGCACCCTCTGCTTACCACAGCCAGGTGAGCTACTCTCTCTCGCTGACACGCTCGCACTTACTCGAATCCTTTTTTTCTGGCTGGCACACTCATCCCATTTTACTCAGACTGGCTCCTGGCTCCTTTTACTTCTTCCTTCTCCCAATCCTCCTAGGCATTCCATGTTGTCTCTTTTCTAGGCCACTTAACATTCTTGCTCAGCTGAGCAGGCAAGTGGTTTTCTTTTGAGAAACACTTGAACACTTTTCTCAATTTTGCTTCTTAATTGTCGAGGGTGAAGATGGCTCAGTGATTTGTGGAGAGATCGAGCGGGGATGTAGGTTTGAGTCATTTCCTAGAAATGGTCTTTTAAAAGTGGGATAGATTAATTTTCAGTTATGCATTGTTCAAGGGGTCATCTTCAGAAAGAGAGGGAAAGGAGAAAGGCTGAAGGTAGACAGTTCTTTCCAGTGAATGTGCGGGACTTTAAGTAGGAATTTATCAAGTCAGTAGTCATTGTCCATTTGGAATTTTTATCACTGGCTGGAATACCACTGTGAAACTTGCCACTAGGGTTTATAAAACTCTTTTCTCCCTTAAAAAAACCCCACACCTTTTGATTTGTAATTAACTTATACAGAAAAGTTACAAGAATAAAAATAGTACAGAGAACACACATGTATACCCTTTAATCAGATTCACTTACTATGTATACATTTGTGTGTCTACACACACTATATATCCTATTAACGTGTGTGTATATCTATATCTATTTTACTGAATCACCTGAGGGTAGATTACATACATCATGGTCCTTTACTCATAAATACTTCCGTATGTATTTCCTAATCACAGAGATATTCTCTTACATAACTACAGTAATCAACTTAGGTATATTTACTATTGGTACAATACTTTAATCTACCATTCATATTCCAATTTTGTTATTGATCTAATAATATCCTGTGTAGCATTCTTTCCTCTTCAGTGCAAGAGCCAGGCTAGGATCAGGTATTGCATTTAGTTGTCATGTGTCTTTAGTCTCCTTCAAACAAATATTTCCATAGCTTTTCTTGGTTGTTGTGATTAGAGCAGTGGTTCTCAACTGGGGTGGTTTTGCTCCCCAGGGGTCATTTGGCAATGTATGTTGTCACAAATAGAGGTACTTTACTGGCATTTAGTAAGTAGAAGCCAGAGATGCTACCCTATGATGTTCAGGACAGCCCCATAAGAAAGAATCACATACCCAAAGATGTCAGTTGTGCCAAGGTGGAGAAATCCAGGACAAAAATGACCTTTTTAAAAAAATTAAACTCTTATTTTGAGATAGTTGTAGATGCACATGCATTTGGAAGAAATAATACAGAGCCACCCAATACACCTTTGGCTGAGTTTCTCCCAATGGTAACATCTTGCAAAAAACTATGGTACAATATCACAAGCAGGATATTTACATTGATATGGTCAAGATATAGAACATTTTCTTCACTACATTGATCCCTCATGTTGTCCTTTTTTAGCCACATCATCTTCCCTTGTCCACTCTCTTGCTTTAATTTTTTAATGAGAGACCTGTCATTTTCTTCCTTCAAAAGTTAAATAACAATAATAAAGTGATTTTATTTCTCAGTATTGTTCCCAACTATCAAGAGTGTCACCTAATGATTGGGCTAAACTTGTCCTGTAGCTAGAATGTTATTAATAGTTCTCTAGAGATTTTAGATGATACATGCTCAGAACACACACACCTAGGTATGTATATGTGTTAAGGCTTAATGAAACTAATGAGCCTACTATACAATTTAAGAACTATAACTTTACCCATCCTGTTGAAACTAACTGTATACTCCCCAGTCCATTTCTTTGACTCCTATATTGTTTTGGTTTTTCAAAAAAAAATGTTCCTTTTTAAAATTACATGATTGTTTCCCTAAACAATAACAACATGTTTAATTTTGCTCATTTAAAAAAATTTACAAATATGGTAGTTTATTGCATATAGCTTTTTGTGACTTGCTTTTTAAAATTCATTGTTTCTGAGATTCAGCCATGTTGTGTATATATATAGCATTAGTTTTTCACTAGTGTGTTAAATTCTGTTGTGTGGGGCCAGGTGCCATGGCTCACGCCTGTAATCCTAGCACTCTGGGAGGCCGACTCGGGTGGATTGCTCGAGGTCAGGAGTTCAAAACCAGCCTGAGTGAGACCCCGTCTCTACTAAAAGTAGAAATTAATTGACCAACTAAAATATATATATACAAAAAATTAGCCAGGCATGGTGGCACATGCCTGTAGTCCCAGCTACTCTGGAGGCTGAGGCAGGAGGATCACTTTAGCCCAGGAGTTTGAGGTTGCTATGAGCTAGGCTGACGCCACAGAACTCACTCTAGCCTGAGCAACAAAGCGAGACTCTGTCTCAAAAAAAAAAAAAAAAAAAATTCTGTTGTGTGAATATACCACAATCTTCTTTTCTTCTTTCTTTTTCTTTTTTTTTTGTGGAGACAAGATCTCACTGTTACCCAGGCTGGTCTCAAATTCCTGGCCTCAAGCAATCCTCTCACCTCAGCCTCCCAAAGTGCTGGGATTATAGATGTGAGTTACCGTGCCTGGTGCAGTCTTCTTTTAATCTGTATTTTCGTTGTTTGCATTTTTTGGTGTTATGAAAAATGTTGCTATGAATATGTTTGTATGTCTTCTGGTGTACACGTCTTGAGGATATAGATACAGGAGTGTAACTGTTGGGTGTGTATATGCTCATCTTTAGAAGATAATACCAAATTATTTTCCAAAGTGGTGTAACAGTTCACACTGTCACAAGCAAAGTTTGAGTTCAGTATACTGTGTACTCATAACACTAAAACCAAGAGGAGTTTCTTCATTTTTCTTTTTTTTGAGATGGGGTCTTTCTCCGTTGCCCAGGCTCTTGGGCTCAAGAGATCCTCCTGCTTCAGCCTCCCCAATGGCTAGGATGACGGGGGTGAACCACCACACCTAGCTAATCCCCCCTCCCCCCCTCGCCCCCATAAAGACGGAGTCTTGCCATATTGCCCAGACTGGTCTTGAGTACCAGGCCTTAAGTGATCCTCTTGCCACACTTCCCAAAGTGCTGGGATTCCAGGCATGAGCTGTTGTGCCTGCCAGAGGTTTCTTAATTTTTTTTTTTTTTGAGACAGAGTCTCACTTTGTTGCCCAGGCTAGAGTGAGTGCCATGGCATCAGCCTAGCTCACAGCAACCTCAAACTCCTGGGCTCAAGCAATCCTGCCTCAGCCTCCCAAGTAGCTGGGACTACAGGCATGCGCCACCATGCCCGGCTAATTTTTTCTATATATATTAGTTGGCCAATTAATTTCTTTCTATTTATAGTAGAGACGGGGTCTCACTCTTGCTCAGGCTGGTTTTGAACTCCTGACCTCGAGCAATCCACCTGCCTCAGCCTCTCAGAGTGCGGGCGTGAGCCACCGTGCCCAGCCAGTTTCTTAATTTTTGATAATCAAGTAGGAGGTTTCTGTATATGTGTTGGGAATGATAGTGTCAGTGGTGGGGGTTATAGTAGTACATTGTGTTGTGAGTATTGTAGTCACTGTAATAAAGCATTGAAGTGAAAAGGGAAGAGCTAAAAAGATCTTAATTAATGTGTATATTTCTGAGAATTACAATTCATCTACTTAGTTGTGAGAGCATCAGATGAGGGTTTGGAGAAGATCCCTTCTGAGGCTACCAGAGATATATTAGATGAAAACTTGCGAGACTAATGGCTCTAAAACTTTCTTGATTATAGCCTACCTTGCCTAGTAGTACAGTGAAAGAATTGGAGAAGCACAAAATAAATAGGATTTAGCAAAATTGTTGTGGTAGCATATGTGAATTGTTCTATTTAATAAGAGAAGAAAGAGCTAATCTTTATGTAATTTTATTATACTTACTTTGACATTGTGATACAAATTATTTAAACAGTTTAAACTCACAGCCAAAGAACAAAGAAACTTCTGGGGAGGGGATATCTATCTATCTATCTTATCTATCAACTGTGTATGTATATCTGTTTTAGCAAAGGATCATGCATTTGATCCAGAGATTAGGCCAGGTTGTGGCTACTGTAAATTAGAACTAAAAACATGGATTAAGCAGCTGTATTATTTCACATGCTGTACACCATAATTTGTTGAATTCTTGTCAGCAAAGCATTGATGATAAAGAGGAAAATGCTCTCAGCATGGTAGTCAAAGGGCACAAAGATCCCTTGTAGTTGATGCAGTTAGGATGATAGGAACTTAGACTCATTAAATTCTTTTACAATTATAAAATAACCCATTTTACATTTGGGGTTTCTATTATTTGCTTAACTCAATATTCTAATCCCTTGGGCTATTTACTTTTTGAGTAAATCTACATGGTATGTTAGGGATGAATCATGTCTAATAGCCCTAAAATTTAAATGAATGGTGACATTATTGGCAAATAGCTGGGGGAAAAGGGAATCCACCATAATTTATTATTTGCTACTTTCTTTTCTTTATCTGAGCCATCCCATCAAGAAAAGGGAAAACCAGCCTAGATATATACTCTTTAATTTAACGGTTTAATACAGAAGTGAGACTAAATTAAAAATCTTGAAATTTGGGCTGGGCACTGTGGCTCACTCCTGTAATCCTAGCACTCTTGGAGGCTGAGACAGGAGGATTGCTTGAGTTCAGGAGTTCAAGACCAGCCTGAGTAAGAGCAAGACCCCATCTCTACTAAAAATAGAAAAATTAGTCTGGCATCGTGGCACATGCTTGTACACCATAGTCCAGCTATTTGGGAGACTGAAGCAAGAGGATCACTTGAGCCCAGGAGTTTGAGTTTGCAGTGAGCTATGATGATGCCACTGCACTCTACCCAGAGCAACAGAGTGAGACTCTGTCTCAAAAAAAACCAACTTGAGATTTGGTGAGATAATGATCCTATTACTAGGAATAATAGAGCAATAAGCTCATATTTTTACTCTTGTTCTTCTCAATTTTCTAGGGTCTCTCTGTTGTAAACAACTATAAATATTCCTCAA